ATGATGGTGGGGCTGTTGCAGGTTGGCTCACTGACGACGACATATTATCGAAAGTGCTTGAAGAGGATCAGAATCACTGTTACGATGATGACATTCAAAATGAGCTGGCGCAACATCACACCGTGCAGGAGGCCGCTGAAGTCATCGAGGAGTTCTGCATCAGTTCTCGCGACAGCGAGCGCGCACACCACCACCTCATGGGGTTGAATAAGATTGTTTTAGCATAAATTGGCACCAGACAAAACTTGCGCACCTTTTCATGAAATAAAGGTTTGTCTCTGCCTAGTATCTTTTTTATGGTCCATTCAATAATATGAAATTTGGTTAACTCGGACATTTTCACCAGTCTCATGAGATCTGGATTAACGATGTTTTACTGTACTCCCGCCCGATCATATTGTCCACCAGGTTGGTTTTCGAGAAGCTCTTGGCTTGACTTTGTTTGGGTGGTGCAGTTGAGGCAAGTTGTGTAAAACGACTAAATTTATAATATAGGAGGACCTTTTTAGTAATAAAACGTTATTTTTGACGATGCATTCATGTTATATGCAATTTTTATTAGGTTTTTATTCCTCCCAAGGTCACAGCTCAGGACAAGCTAAGGCCATGGTCATAATGTTAAAATGACATTTGTTTTTGTTGTGTGACAGCATGCAGGTAAACTACATTTAAGTTCACTTCATTTTATTCGTCGTAGATCCTTGTCACACGGCAGATTAGATCTGCCGTGTGACAAGGATATGTCACCCCTTTTAAATGAAACAAGTGCGAAATGTTCTGTTGACTCAGCACCAAACCAAAGCTTCGATTGTCTGCAGCCACTACTCACGAGGCAAGCAGTGTTCAATAGACCTAGCATGTGGATTGCAATGTGGCATGCTAACGCGACACGCTCGCCCAAGAAACACAGAAATTGAGCAGCATGCGTGAAACAAAATTTCGATTTGTGGCTGGGACAACAGCTGCCGTAACTATCCTGACAAAAGTTTTCCAAGCTCGCAATCCACTTGTTAGTGGTCAAAAGCGAAAACTTGTGGGGGTGCTCCCACTCTCTGTAAAGTTGTTTGCACTGCATGGCGCACGGTCTCGCCCAAAAGCTGCATTTCGAGTCGCAACCGCCAAGCAGTAGGTGGCGTTGTGTTTGTGAGCGTTGATCACCACTATCATCATCATGGTTGTTACAGTGGTAGCGCTGGCAGTGACCCCTGGTGGAAAACAAGCCTTGGTGGCGGGCAAGAGTTGAGTGAGCCTCTTCGGCTCGTGGCGGTTGTCGCGAAAGGTTGCCTCTAGCGTGGGTCCTCGGCGCGTGGCACCGCCGGACACTCGCCGGGGTCCCTTGTGGTAAGTCAAGCATTGACGACCACGCCTTGGGTGTGCTATTGTGTTTCTCATGTTATTGTGTGTTTGTCGTGTTATTGTGTGTGGATGTCTTAGCGTGTTGATACTCACTGATGTATCATTCGGCGGACGATATCGTCGCTATAAATTAGTTAAATAAATGTGTGTATTGTTCTTTGGTTTGTACCAACCGCGTCTGCTGTGTCCGTTCACTCAAGAGGCTGGCACTCTCGCCGATGCGAGACCCCACACTGGCTGCCCAATGTGGAGCTCTTCGAGCATTGGACGACAGTTTTCGCAGTTCGGTACAAGCTTTTGTTAGAGCTGGAATAGAGTAGGCCTTGGGGGACTTCTCATTTCTAGCACCGGGGGTGTGCTTTGTTGAGAAGTGAGGAGATTGGTTTTGTGACGTGTTTGAACTTGTCAGCAGGTTGAGGTTTTATTTTTTTATTTTCTATTCGCAAGTGGTTTTTTTTTTTTTTGTTAGTTGTCAAAAACGTTGTTGACTTAGAACAAGAGCCATGCGGTCCGCATCCTGGGGTGTGCAAGGCCTAGAGCACGTGGTTTGTAGGCCAAACCCAAAGCGAGTGAGTACGGAAGCCTCGTGGGTGGTCCGATTTTCTCTAAATAGCGTCTTTTATTTCTTTTGGGCTCAAGGAGCCGAGCGTCATTGCTGTCTTGCATTGTGGCTCGACGCCGTAGCATCGTTACACCGTCCGGGACAGTGGACGCCGATAGCTCGGTAAGCTGGTGTGTGCGGCGAGCGATAGGACCACCTTACGGAGTGGATGTCTTCTCGCGGCTGCCTCTTCTGCACCTAGGCTGGGTGCTGGGTGGATGCCGGTTGTTGCCAAGCGACTCATTAGGCCTAAGGCTCTGCGCAGCCGCCTCTTGCACGTGGCACAACTAAGTGGATCGTGGCGTCGAGGTGTAGCACTCTGCTTCCCTCACTTTTTTTTTTATCTTGGGATGCATAAGTCAGCAAAAAGTGGTTTTTGTTTTATTTTTGAGCTCGACGTCTCGGCCGCCGCCGATGTATTAGCTAGCCGTACTCACCATCGTACCACATGGGTGAAAAGCACGTAGCTCCCTTCCTTGGGCCCTGCTCCATTGTTTCTGTAGAGTGTTTTGGAATGAACGCAGCGGAAGTATTGTAATCCACGAGTGGCTGTCTTCTGCACATCGTCAGCGACGCTGGCCAGGAATGCGATCGTAAGGTCGGGCGATAGTGATGCCTGGGACCTGCGCAACTGCCTGCAGTCCGGCGCCTTCGTGAGTGCCGGTCGCAACCGGATGATGTGTCGGCGCTAGTGACGGTTTATCGCGCCGACGAAAACGTTGCTGTTGCGGGACCGGTACTGAGGTGAAGTCGAGCCAGACAGTGCAGCAGTGACGACCGGCGGCGGTGTCGTGGTGGAGGGACATTATGAAGGCACATGTGTTGTAATTTTTTTTTGTTAGAGCTTGTGTGGCTGATTTCTTTGTTTTTGAAATATAGTTTGATTTAAGGTTGAGAGGATGTGGGGGTGCTAACACTCCCTGTAAAGTTGTTTGCGCTGCGTGGCGCTTGTGTCCTGCCCAAAAGCTGCATTTCGCCTTACAACTGACGGGAAGTAGGTGGCGTTGTGTTCGGGAGCATTGATCACCACTATAATCATCACGGTTGTTACAGTGGTAACGCCGGCAGTGACCCCTGGTGGAAAGCAAGCCTTGGTGGCGGGCGAAAGTTGAGTGAGCCTCTTTGGTGCATGGCGATTGCCACGAACGGTTGTATCTAGCGTGGGTGCTCGGCCCGTGGCACCGCGGGCCCTCATGATAAGTCAAGCGTTCGTGACGCCACCTTGATGTGTTATTGTGTTTGTCATGTTATTGTATGTTTGTCGTGTTATTGTGTTTGCCATGGATTGTATGGAAATATGGTGTGTCTTAGCGGGTTAATTACAACTGATGTATCGATTCGGCGGATGATATCGTCATTTTAAATTAGTTGAATGAATTTATTGTTTGCCCCGACCACGTCTACTGTGTCTGTTCACTCCAAGAGTGTGGCGCTCGCTCACCAAGTTCCAGACCCCAAAAGGTCCATTGCAATTGAAAGCATTGTCACTCGCACGTGAGTAGAATTCACGCACATAAAATTTGTGGCCTACAGCGGCACAACTAATTTCCTGGTAGAGAAGTGAGGAAACAAAGATCGGTGGAAGCAAGCACCCATTCAGGGTGGGGCACACAAAGCAAAAGCAGCGAAGAATTTCCCATCATCTACACAACTACTCCCCTCCTCACACACTGCACTCATGTGGCGCTGCTGCACTCCGACCCCCATCAGCACCCATCTAATTTCCGAAAGATGTCATGAGATGTTGCTAGATAAACATAACAACTGTGACTAGCACCTTGCGCCACCTGTTGCCTACTGGGGCACGTGACCACGAGAGTGACACCCAGTGTGCAAAGTAACTTGCATTCCGAAGTGTGTCGTCAGGTATTCCAAATGGTAGACAAGATAGTAGTGCGACTTAACAAACATTGAAAAAAATGTATACCAATTGTTCCAGTTATCTTTAGCCGAAGGTTAAAAAATGAAAATTAAAGGTAGCTGAGTGAAATCAGTTGAATATTGCTGACAGCCACCTTACATTTTTTTTGTAAATAATAATTTGTTAATTACTATTATTTAACAAAATTGATTAAAATTGACTTTATGCAAGATATGCGACTTGCAAAGTTCGAGAGCACCTTCAGAAACCACCCATTTTATAATATGCCGTAAAGAAAGTCTCACGTATACCATTTTTTCCATGCTGCAAAGAAAGGCTATGAAATACAAAAAGAACCACATGATTAGCGCATTCACACGCCGCAAGTGTGTTGCTTTCAGCAGTGGTGTGAATAAACGAAATCATCTGCGGCTGTTACTATACTCCATTTCATACATCAGGTGCAACGCTGTGGAGGCTAGCGAGACTTCTTGCAATGAATGCATTCGCACTAAGAAATAGCACGATGATTTTTCTATCTAAGACATAATTTTTTTTTCCCTCTTTGAGCTTAGTATTAAATGAAGATACTTTGTGTGTCGAAGATAAAAACGCCTCTTTATACGGCTGCCAATGAGTTGTTCTAGAGTTTCTTTGTTCTCATTTGTTGATGTTTTATTTGGAGCCTTTTACAACATAGCATTCATACTCATCTCGTACAAGTGTTTACAACAATGAAATCCAAGTGTGGGACGCTTGTAGTCGAACATAATGCTGATTCAACTTCTTCCATAGCTTCCACAGCGTCGTTACACGACGCTGTGCAAAAATCTGTAAATGAATGAATGAATGTAAAATATCTTAAATAACAAGTTAACTACAAAAAAAATTGTGTGTAGTGCAAAAGGTGGCTGTCAGTAATATGCAATCAATTTCTTTTGGATACCTCTAATATTGTATTTTTAACCCTTGGCTAAAGATAGCTGGGACACCCAGCATTTGATGAAACTTGGCTGTGTCACTTATTTTCATTTATAAAAAGAAGTTTTATCAGATCCCTACCAATACATACGAATGTGATGAGATTTTAGTACAAATCTAGGACTGAGACCAGTTTTCTCTTCTCCAAGTTGAAATTTTGGTGTTATCAGCCAAAGTAGCGCACAGATGCACTGATAGTACCTTTTGGTCCAACATGGCATTTGCCACCTCGCCCATTTCCGAGAGGACGGTGAAGTTTCCTGGGAGGCCATACTTGTCAGGGCGTTTCTTCTCTGGGCAATAGGTACTCTGCAAAGAGGCCACCACACCAGACATTCTTTGTACCGACACGCATTTGAGAAGTGAAATGCCCTATCAGAATGTACTCGGGTGATAACAAACCAAGAGAAAACCGGCAGGTCAAAGGAAGCATTTTACGCAACCTTCTTGGCCTTCAAACAAGACTGACCAACTCACCCAAGCTGTCATCCCAATCAACTTCATAGCCAAAGTCTATCAACAGTGCCGGAGACACCATACAGTTATAACCTGTACATATCGTATAAACCGGAATATAAGTAGAGATACTTAATAAAAACGACCTTAAAGGCTTACTCCAAAGAAAGTGTGCACGCCTAAAAAGCCGCTTCATAGGCAGTCTAGTTCTAGATAATGCTATCTGCTGAATTTGACCTCTGAAATTCCACCTAAAAAAAAACGCGCCAACAGCACTCATTTTATTATCGAAACTAGAAAAAACGATGCCATTACAACTGACTGGAAGTGACATAGACAGCAGCTTGACAGATCGACCGATGCAGGTGAATCATCTTCTTTGCGCTTCAAAGTATATTCGCTTCATGGCAGTGCCCCGGAGCTTTCTCTATAGATAGTAACGAATAAGCACACATTGTAAATATGTACCGTAACGGATACATGAATACATGGTCATAAATGTTCATTCAAGCGTTTTTTCTTAATAGCAGCTGCCTGGTTCACATAAATGATGCTGCTCGTTTAAGCTTCGGGTGTTCTTGCTTCGTTGATAGACTATGAACGATAAGACAGCCTTGCTTTCAATATTGATGCTCGGTTTGGTGCACTCCCATGTGTGGGGTCTCGAAATCAAGAGCGCCATGCTCTTGGAGTGAACGGACACAGCAGACGCGGTCAAAACGAATCAAACAACACACATTTACTTATGTAACTTTAGAACGACGATATCGTCAGCCAAATTATTATACATCAATTCTTATCAACACACTTAAACAACATTACACAATATTACACACACTTAGACAATCTTACACAATATTACACAACACTCAACAACATGACAAACACAAGGCGGCATCGGCAACACTTGACTCACCAAGAGGGCCCACGGCAGACGACCCGCAGTGTCGTCAACCGCTGACCACCGCAAAAGCCAACCTCTCACTCCAACCGCCCCCACGCAATGTGCCACCACGCAAGGCTTGCCGCCAGGCATCACTGCCAGCACTACCGTTTTAACCATGATGATGATAGTGGTGATACACGTGAGCACAACACCACCTACCACTCGATAGTTGTCAACTCTGCACGAGGTCTCTGCACATGACACATACGCTACGTGGCACAAACGACTTTACAGGGGGTGTTAGCACCCCACCACCTGTTAACAGAAAGCGTCCCTGCATTTCTGTAAACACTTGTCTGACTGCGCCCAAAATATTTACATATCTTATGTGACATAACTGATCTACTTTCACAGGTCCCATTAATTAGGGAGGCGATCGCCGGGCTAATTCCAAGGGCCGAAGTATCGGCCCTCTGAACAGCACCTCGAAAGCGCGGTCAATTTAGAAGTGGTCCTATTTGGCGTGCCACCGGACGCCGGCTGTGGTCCAAAGAACGACTTAGAGCCGAGAGTTGATGAACAAAACAAAATTATATTCTCAAATATGGCAGATCAGACGATACACAAATATGCACACTCGACAATAGTTGAATACGATATGTCACCAATCAAACAACGTACTACACAGTACAATCAGCCACATTCGAAACAACAGACACAAACAATACGCGCTACAATGCAATCACATGCATCGCACAACCAAGACACTAAAAGACTAAAGAGTTCGAAAACTTATTCGGTCCAAAGTCCTTGGAACAAGGTCTGAATGATACTCTTCTAAGAATCACTGTCAAAGTCCAGCACTGTTGTCGTTCCGCAGCCCCCGAAGTTTCTCTTCTAAGAAACCTCGCATCTTCAATCGACCGCACTCCAAGCACCGAACTTCTTCGCCAGTAACAAATCGGCTTCCCACGCGCAGCTGTTGCAACGCGTCTTCGCTCACTGGCGGTAAACACACTCTTCTGCTTGTAGCTTGAGTCTTCACCCCTCAAGTGGAAATCCTCCTCATTACCTGCTTTGTCACTGAGGACAGAAGCCTTCGCTAACACGGCGGAATGACCCTACGCACACTTGCGCAAAACTTTCATCTCCTGCCTACGCACACGGGCACAAACTTTCTTCTTCTGCTTTGTCGCTAACGACAAAACCTTCGCCGACACAGCAAAAGGCCCTATGCACAAACTTTCTTCTTCTGGTGCAAACTTTCTTCTTCTCCTGCCTACGGACGCTGGCGTAAACTGTCTTCGTCTCTTGATCTCACTTCTCCGCTGCTTGCTTAAATACCTTTCGCGCTAGATTCCAGAATATTCTAATTGTTTCGTCGGCGCGATGCACAGCCAAGGATGGGGAAAGGGCGAGATGTTTTGAGAGTCGCTTGACACACGTGACCCAACTCTGCATCACCACGCCCCTTTTCTTCGAGATCTTTCCAAGGCTTGCTCGGCCGCCGATGCGAGGAGGTCGGTCGGCGAAAGTTCGCTTCCGAGGGTGAGAGAGGGTGCACCTGGGGAGTCTTTGGATGCTCGTTTCTTCTTTAGCGTTGACCTTGAGGCGACTCTTGGCGCTTTGTTCGCCAGAATTCGGCGGTGCGCTCTTTTTTTTGAGTGCTCATTAACATGTGACATTTACAAATAATACCATTTTGTGCTTGAATTGCTTTGAACCGAGCACAACTAGGTTTCTTTAAAACTTTTCTGCTTTGACTACTCTCAACTTGAAGCAACTGAGCTGATCAGTTTTTGAAGCTTTCATTTCTTGTGCACACAGCGCAGCAAATCTAGTGCATCACAGAGCATCGTTGTGCCGGAGGAAGCTGGTCCCAGCAGTAACTTTTGTTCCAGCAACCTACAACCCCGCCTTTCGTACAACAATACCGTTACCATATATTGCTGATTATAGGTCAATGTTTTTGTCTTTTTTTTTTTTCATAAAATGGCCTTTTTAAGTTTGGGGGTCGGCCTATTACCGGAGTCAACATATAAGCAGAATTGTAAAGTCAACTTTTTTTAGGAGTCCAATGAATGGCCGTTGTCCTCAGGTTCACTGCTATTCGAAGCATCAATAGCATCTGGCACAGAGGCAACAGAGTTAGGGGAACTGCTCTCACCCAAAGTGCAAGCACCGTTTCCGGAAACGGACATTTTTACAATCTGCCTTGAGGATCACAAAACTACGATATAGCTATGATGGCTAGAGAAAGAGGTGCCAGTATCCAGCATTTTTTCATGACACGCTGCCGATGGCGTCAGAGTTTCAATGGTAGCGCCACCGCACCGGCGCATCTGTCAGGCGAGATCTGCAACAAGATCAGCACTCGCGGCACATCATAATGTGGGTATGACAGTGCGTTTGGCTCGCGAAGAAATGCAAATGTGTTTATCGCTTGCTAACAATTTAACATAGGTTTATTTGTTGTAAAAAACTCGATATGCATCTCTGGCTCGCAAAAACATGACGTTTATCGTTCACGAAAGATGTGACATGCGTTCCTCGCTTCAGTGGACAGCATGCCCTAAAAGCACTTGCTGACAAGGCAAGTCAAAGATTCAGATTTTCCACGAAACACCATGGGCGAGCACCATGGGCGAGCACAATGGGCATTCCATGGAAGAGCTGGCAGTGCCGTGTGGGCTGAAAACACTTCACAGGGAACTGAACCACATGACCAGTCACATAGCCTCCCACATGTGCCCATATGGTCTTCACATACTTTTTCACTCACGCCTGTTCGCCATTTCTGCATTTCGCCTTGCTTGCGAACAGTGGTGTGCGCGATTTGCAAAGCTGCTCAACGGACACCAAGATGCCACCCCTACGCTGGCAACGGTACTGCACTGCTTTCAAGTGGCAAGTGATCTTCTACACAGAGTCAGACAGCAATGTTGAAGCAGGGCAGAATTTCGTTGTGTCAGAAAAGTGCATGAGGGAATGAAGAAAACAAAGGACGAAGATATTCGCGTTCGCTGCTACACGCCGCTCCTTTCCTAGACCGAAGTTTGGACGAAACCCTGCCATTGAGGAGGCGGTTCAAGATTGGGTTCACGACCAGAGAAGCAAAAGCCTGAGCGTTTTTTACGATGATATTAAAGCAAAAGCATGTACTGCCATGTAGGATATGTACATCCCGCTAACCCAGTTCTAAGTACCGTATAAACCAGAATATAGGTCGAGATATTTTTAATAAAACAGCGAGATAAATGTCGCCCCTCGTCTTATATAGTTGTCTAGCCGACAGTGCACCGCTGTCTGACAACATGTGGCTTGCATGTGCATGAGAAGCTGGACATGGCCATATTCACATTCAAACCCAATAGCAGGTTGTTGTTTTTTTTTTCACTCTTGTCTTTTTTTGTGTTCGTGATTTGCTTCCGATCTGTTCTAATTTCTCGCTACCCTTGACACTGTGTTTCAATTTTAGTGGTCTTTTTTTCGTTCACTGAATATGAGTAGCGGTACGAGAAGGCAGTACCCAGCTGCGTTTAAACTAGAGGTTGTTGAGTTCGCAGAAGCGAATAGGAATATGGCGGCTCAGTGCCGCTTTGGTGTATCAGAAAAAAGCGTGCACTATTGGAGGAAACAGAAAGGGAAGCTGCAGATGTGCAATCCTCGGAAAATGTCATTTCGTGGGTGAAACGCGGTTCATCCCCAGCTGGAGAATACACTAGGAAACTTTGTGAGGGAAGTTCATGTGCGCTCGCTGCCAGTGACCGTGGATACCATTCGCAAGAAAGCTGTGAAACTCGCTCAAGAAACTGGGCTCACGAGAGAAGAGTTTCGTGCACTAAACTCTTGGGTGTGTCGGTTCATGGGACGCAAAGGATTTTCTTTCCGGTGGCGCACATCCAGCTGTCAGAAGTTTCCAGACGAGTTCGAGGACAAACTTATAAACTTTCAGGGCTTCGTGAAC